GCTGGTGGCCAAAGGCTGCCTTCACCCACAGAGGAAGAAAACCCCAGCTGAGATGCGCAGAGGGTCCATGGTGAGGGCGTTGGAGTTGCTTTGCTCAGCAGCTGAGCACATTTTGGGACAGCTGTCACCTCCTGCCACGTTCACACCACAAATAGGGAAGTTATTCTCCCCCTCCGCTCTGCACTGGGGAGGCCACAACTGGAATCCTGCGTCCAGTTCTGGGCTCCCCAGTTCAAGAGAGACAGGGAACTGCTGGAGAGAGTCCAGCGTAGGGCAACAGAGATGATGGAGGGATTGGAGCATCTCCCTGATGAGGAAAGGCTGAGAGAGCTGGGGCTCTTGAGCCTGGAGAAGAGAAGGCTGAGGGGAGACCTTATCAATGCTTCCAAGGATCTAAAGGGTGGGTTGAGGGAGGATGGAGCCGGACTCTTCTCAGTGGTTCCCAGTGACAGGACGAGGGGCAACGGGCACAAGCTGGACCATGGGAAGTTCCACTGCAATGTGAGGCAGAACTTGTTTGGGGTGAGGGTGGCAGAGCCCTGGCAGAGGCTGCCCAGGGAGGGTGTGGAGTCCCCAGATCTGGAGATGTTCAAGCCCCTCCTGGATGCTCCTGAGTGACGTGCTCTGGGCAGCCCTGCTTTGGCAGGGGGGTTGGACTGGATGGTCTCTAGAAGGTCCCTTCCAACTCTAACAATTCCATGATTCCGTGATTATTTAGACCAGAAAACCTCCCCTCAGGGCAGGAACCATCCTGTACCAGCCCCATCACCCCAGGGACTCACACATGCAACCGCAAAGGATTTTTGGTTTTCCTGCTGCAGGGAACATCCTTTCCCCCACACACTGACAATTTATACCTCAGCCAACATTTTCCACCCACCCCCATCTCCAAAAGCCTCTCTCCAAGTATCGAGGGGAGAAGTTTCTCCCAAAGGACTCGCTGACACCACGCTCACTCCACGGGGGAGCAGCTTCGGCAGCAAAAGCCAGAGTCTCTTTGTGAAGCTTTAGTCCAGACTTTATCATTTGCAGATTTCCTTGAAGGTATTTTTTAAGCTAATTACCCGCCATTAGCAAACATCTCGCCTCGCCTGGTTGGTTTCTGTGCTGAGATTAAGCGGCGAAAGGGATTAGAAATGTTACTTTGAGAGCCTGAGACGTTAAAGCCCTAAATATATGGAGCTGAAAAGGGCTTTTCCTTCTAAAGAAATTAAATATCACTCCCGCCGCCGTAGCAATGTGACATTTGAAGAAGTCTGATTCGCTCACCAGCCCCTGACCCTCCTTAAACTCCAGACAGATTCAGTGCTGAAAACCACTCGTCTCAAATCTGTCGCCCTTTCATCTTTTTAATGCGGCCATACCGATTTCAAATGATCAAATTATAAGGAATTACCTGGAGTTAACATCTCGGGGGTTGAAGTATTGTCAGCACTTTGAAATTCGCTACCCAGAAGTTTTTGATAAAGCCGTAATTAACCTTTTTTCTTCCTTCCCCCCCCCTCTCCACCCCCAGATGGAGTGAAAACTCGCAGAATGTGTTTTGCCTTTTATTTTTGGGCAGGTTGCTGGCAGAGCAGGGTGCTGGGGGGGTCAGTTCTCCATTCAAAGGCAGAGGAGCTCGTGGAAAACTTCAGTTGGAGCAATTTGCTGACGGCCCAAGTCTAAAACTGGGATATAATTCAGGAATATCTACAAAACCCCTGCTGGAAGCCACCTTCCCTCCTCCCCACATCCATGGGGACGCTGGGGACACGCCAGCAGAGCAGCCCCTACTGTTGCCAAACCCAGAGCTCCCCAGAAGCACGTCCTGAACATTTTTTTAAAGGTTCTGCCCAAGCAGGGGTGGAAAAAACTGCTGGAAAACACAGCGAGAAGAGACAAGTGGAGACTCCAGCCTCAACTCCCAGTGCCCAGCAGTGAAGGCCGACTGGGAAAGGGGGTGCGAGGGAATTTCAGGGGGATGGTGGAGCCCTCCTGGGCACCAGGAACTCAGAGCAGACGGGGTGTCTGACCAGCAGCTCCCCTCAGGGAAGGGCCACCCAGGAACTGAACCATCAATCCAGGATTGGAAATCCCCAAACTACAATTCCCCCCGCGTTTTGGGGGGATGTTGCGCCAAACGCTGGCTGCGGCGCCGCGCCCCGAGCAAAGGCTGGGTCATGCTGTGACGTCCTCGTCCCACCAGGGTCAGGATAACACTTTCACAGAATGCTATGGGGTTGGAAGGGACCTCTGGAGATCATCTCCTCCAACCCTCTGCCAGAGCAGGGCCACCCAGAGCAGGTCCCACAGGAACGTGTCCAGGTGGGGTTTGAATGTCTCCAGAGAAGGAGACTCCACCACCTCCCTGGGCAGCCTCTGCCAGGGCTCTGCCACCCTCAAAGTGAAGAAGTTCCTCCTCATGTTGAGATGGAACTTATGTTCCAGTTTGAGCCCATTTCCTCTTGTCCTGTCCCTGGGCACCACTGAGAAAAGACCAGCCCCATCCTCCTGACACCCTCCCTTGAAGTATTTATAGGTGTTGATCAGATCCCCCCTCAGTCTTCTCTTCTCCAGACTAAAAAGACCCAAGTTCCTCAACCTCTCCTTATCAGAGAGATGCTCCAGGCCCCTCATCATCTTTGTATCCTCTGCTGTCCCCTCCTGTTTATACTAAATCACGCTTCATGACTGAAGCCCCAAACTCACAATCAGAGATGATGAAATCAAAGAAGAACCAGCAGTAAAAGGCTGGGACAGTGTCACCTTCTCCCGCAGTGCGTGCCAGGCTGGAAAAACACCTGTAAAAACATTGTGCTTCATTCCCCTTCATTTCCCAAAGGTACCAGGAGAAAGGCTGATGGCGTGAAAGAGGAAACGATTGAACCCTCGAGCTGCAGAATGAAGCAAAGAGCAGAGAAGCACGCTCTGCACCAGCCACACTCAACTCCAGTGTCACCCCAACAACACCTAAAATGCCATGGGACAAACAGTGATTTCTGTTGACTCCAGTCGAGTGAGTTACATGGGTGAAGGATTCTCTTCCCCGCACCATGGAGGCTGCAGCTCCCCATGTTTCATGGACACGGACAGCAGGAAACAGGCTTCTCACCTCCATCATCATCTGAGGAGAAGGATCTGGGGGTCCTGGTGGACAGTGAACTCTCCAGGAGCCAGCAATGGGCCCTTGTGGCCAAGAGGCCAATGGGATCCTGGGCTGTGCAGGGAAGAGTGTGGCCGGTGTCACCTTCTCCCGCAGTGCGTGCCCGGCTGGAAAAACACCTGTTTTGGGGACATTGGACTGGGCTGCCCAGGGAGGTGGTTGTTTATATTAAATCACAGTTCATGACTGAAGCCCCAAACTCACAATCAGTCTAGAAGATTCTGTGAAAAGCATTGTGCTTCTCTCCCCTTCATTTCCCAAAGGTACCAGGAGAAAGGCTGATGGTGTGAAAGAGGAAACGATTGAACCCTTGAGTTGCAGAATGAAGCAAAGAGCAGAGGAGCACACTCTGCACCAGCCACACTCACCTCCAGCGTCACCCCAACAACACCTAAAACGCCGTGGAACCAACAGTGATTTCTGTTGACTCTAGTTGAACGAGTCACGTGGTTGAAGGATTCTCTTCCCTGCACGATGGAGGCTGCAGCTCCCCATGTTTCATGGACACGGACAGCAGGAAACAGGCTTCTCACCTCCATCATCATCTGAGGAGAAGGATCTGGGGGTCCTGGTGGACAGTGAACTCTCCATGAGCCAGCAACGGGCCCTTGTGGCCAAGAGGCCAATGGGATCCTGGGCTGTGCAGGGAAGAGTGTGGCCAGGAGGTGGAGGGAGGTCATTCTCCCCCTCTGCTCTGCACTGGGGAGGCCACAACTGGAATCCTGCATCCAGTGCTGGGCTCCCCAGTTCAAGAGAGACAGGGAACTGCTGGAGAGAGTCCAGCGTAGGGCAACAGAGATGATGGAGGGATTGGAGCATCTCCCTGATGAGGAAAGGCTGAGAGAGCTGGGGCTCTTGAGCCTGGAGAAGAGAAGGCTGAGGGGAGACCTCCTTCATGCTTCCAAGGATCTAAAGGGTGGGTTGAGGGAGGATGGAGCCGGACTCTTCTCAGTGGTTCCCAGTGACAGGACGAGGGGCAACGGGCACAAGCTGGACCATGGGAAGTTCCACTGCAATGTGAGGCAGAACTTGTTTGGGGTGAGGGTGGCAGAGCCCTGGCAGAGGCTGCCCAGGGAGGGTGTGGAGTCCCAAATGTGGAGATCTTCAAGCCCCACCTGGATGCTCCTGAGTGCTGTGCTCTGGGCAGCCCTGCTTTGGCAGGGGGGTTGGACTGGAGGATCTCTAGAAGGTCCCTTCCTACTCCAACAATTCCATGATTCTGTGATCCCTCCTGGGTTGTTCTCCCATCATCTTCTCCTTAATGCAACATTAAAGCTTCAAAAACCACAGTAAGCCTTTCTAGAGACATGACTTATTTGAACTGGATCGTATCCGAGCGTGGTGATTACATTTACAATTAAGTGGCTTTTTCTAAACCAAGAGCCCATTCCCCGCCAGTGACTCCCCCGCAAATTCCGCCGCCCGATATAAACCAGCGCCAGCCACGACACAGCCTCATGGAACCACCGCCAAATGTCATCAAGCAAAAATAGTCTTTATTCAAATTTCATGGAAACAGGAGTCACTGTACTTTGCAAGACAGGGAAAAAAAAATAAAATAAAAAAATTTAATATAAAACAAGGATATTGTCACAATACCAGAATATGGAACTATACTTCTTTTCCCTATGGATTACTGCAAGTACTTATTTATTATTATTTTTTTTTTCCTTTTGCCTGTGCTATTCACACCTTTGTAAGTCCAAAAAAAAAATATATGAAACCAAAGTAGTATGAAACTGAAGACTTAGCACTTCCACGACATGGCGTACATCGAAGGGCGTCAATTCGAGGGCAAAGGCTGCCGAAGGGGTTGGTACCTTCCTATGGGTCACACCA